AAGCATTGCAATCCTTCTTCTTGTCTCAGCACCATCTTGCTTGTATCTGTCCAATGTTTGCCTACTAAATAAACTCTCTTGTTCCTGTTGCTGATTTCTTTTCCTTCAAGAAGAATTCTCCACCATCTTGATATTTTCCAAATAGAGCTTAATGAAGCTGCTTCCTTTTTCTGAATTTTGTTACTTCTTCCAAACACACGCAAGCTTCCTCCTGGTTCAAAAACAACTTTTTTGCAGGCCCACGAAAATTCTCAAATGCTCCACTAAGCTGAGCTGAAGACTTGACATAGGTCTAATCAGAAAATCACAAGTGAAACTTTCAAATTTATCACCTTGCTCAACCAAAGTATACACAAATTCTGCAGCAGTAGATGAATCTTCAAGCACTTCTTCTTGCTTTGATCAGGTACATGAACACACACAACTTGTGTTTCCTCCTCTGGTTCCAGACACTGATTGGTTGATTCTGGCGCTGTTTATTATTTCTTCTCAAAAATTTCTTCTTGTCCAGTTATAACCATAGGCAAATGAGACTCTTGTGGTTGATTCTGTGGTTTTGGATTTGTAGTCAGCATGATTCTCAGCTTGGTACTATCAACACACAATCTTCTCATGATTGCAGTCATCATAGCCTCCACTTGCAACAGATTTATGTGTACTGCTAGTGGATTAGATTTTTCTTCTGAATCAGACATGGTTTTGCTTTGCTTGAGATGATATGCTGATGATGGAATTTTCTCACGCATTGGTATTCTACCATATAGGTCCTGGACAGCTTCAGGAAAGACTTTTGGTATGTATAACTCTTATCTATGATGTTCTGAAACTCCTCCAAAGTTTTTATGGCTGGTCAGTTATGAGACCCACGTTTTTCCTCCTCTCTCTCTCTCCCATCATCTTTTAGCCTCACCTCTGAGCCTAGTATAAGCCATTGATAACCTTTCATTCTTTGGTATGTAATTGTGCTAGATACATTTTTCCACATTTGCAGTCCAAGATAGATTTCAGGACATTTTTCTCCATCAAAAACCCTTGGTACGAACATAGAGATGTGTAGTCAAACCCAGCAACAAAAACTCAAAATCAAACCCAGAAACGATAAAGAACTTGAAATCAATCCCAGCAGACGAATTTGAAATCAAACCCAGAGACAACATGGAACTCAATATCAATCTCAGAAACAGTAGGGAAAATCAAAAGTAAACCAAGAAAAAAAAAAAGAAACTGAATTGAAATTGAAAACCCAGAAAACATAGAATCTGTAACAGAGAAAATGTTGAGAAATAAACCCAAAAATGAATCGATCTTCAGAGTGGTGCTCTGATACCACTCAATGAAACCCTCCCTAGGATACTCCACTCTGATTTTTTTTTTAAATCGAACAAGAACATAAGATAGATGGTCGATTTGCTTTGGGTTTACACACCACCACAATCAGGTTATTCATAAGAACAATGAATCATTAAATAGAAAGGAAATGACTGAAAATTCTAGTACAGTCTCAACACACTTAAATAGAAACAAAATACTTGTTGCAGGATCAGCATAGAAAACATAAGACTTGCTGCATGAATAGCATAGAAAGCATAAAATAGACAAGGAGATAAATAGTTAGGTGGTGGCTGAGGAAGTGGAGTAAATGAAGGTGGTTGAGGTGATGGTGGTATAGCCAAGAAGCGCTTCTTCACTTTCCTGGTTATGAACAAGACAAGCAATCTTCTCAATTAGTTTCTTGGACCTTGATCTCGTGATAGGCCCAACAGATATGACAAATGGATCTTCTTTCTGAACAATAATGTTGCATCCACGGGATTGCATCCACTCGGGTTCTTCAATAGCATTGTATCCACAGAGTTGTATCCACTTGAGTTCATCAGCAGTGACATATCCATGGGACTGCATCCACTCGTGTTCATCTTGGATTGGCTCATCCTAGATTGCATTAATATGAGATGGTTCAGAACAATAGACATGTGAAGCACAAGAGACTCACATGAACAACATCGGTTATGGTGACAAGCAAAGAAGTTGGTGATGAAGGAGATGCTCAAGGGTTGGATGCGGTGAACTCAAGATCATGGTTGTGTTAGAAGAATCTAAGAAACCAAAGAAACTAAGTCTAGGCCAAGTTGATGGTTAAGAGAAAACCACACATACTAAGGCAAAGAAAAAAGAGGTGAATATTCAAGAGAAACCGATGGACCAAAGTTGAACAAGGTCGAGATGATGATTCTTAGAAACAAAAAGCAAAAGTAAGAGAACAATGAAGGCAACAAACCAAGGAAATAGCAGAAACCGGACACAGAAATTACAAAACTTAAGAGATCAAGCCATAGAAGAGGGAAACTCGCTTACCTTAGAGAAAGGAAGCAAGATGAATACGTGACAGAGGCTCACGGAGGAGACGTTTGTTCAATTACAGAGGTAAAATAGGTATGTATGATAGCTATCAAGAGAGTGAATTTGTGTTTCGGATTCTAGAATATGCTGAAAATCATTAATGGTCGTCGAAGCATATCAACCTATCTCATTTGGGCGAGACGATGTTCCTGGATCACAACTTTGTTTGTTGGAATTACTGGTACTGGTGAAATCGTATTGTCTTCATAGGCTATTGGTGACTAAATCCCTTTTTACGTTTTATTCTACAATTTGGAGAGGAACACTTTTTTTTTGATCAAACCGAGAGGAACACTTTTATAAGAGTTAATATTCAGGATTTGAAGAGTTCAATTATTGATGAGATAACTATTTTCAAGTGTCTTGACTATGTGGAGAATATGAAGATTATATAAGTGTGTTCAAAAGACTTTCTTCCATATGTTATTAGTATATTTGAGGTTTTGTTTTTTGGGTTTTGAACTCTTTGTATGTTATTGTTTCTCTTAAGGTTGTTTGGATTTCAACTTTATATTACGGTTGTTTTTGTTCTAAGTTTTCATGACATGAGCATTCAACATACTGGTTTGTTTTTGTATTCGTTGTCTCTTTATCTCTCCTTCTCTTTCTATCCTTCTCCCTCTTCAAATTCTTTTTAGCAATTTGGACATGGACGAATAAATGTTGTCGTTGTTGAATAGGTTAACTGAAGTACTTGAGTCATATAATCCCAGTATTCAATCTAACTTGCACATCATTAAAATTAACAGGCTCTCAAAAGGTTTCTGGTAAAAGGATCAACAAAAAATAGTTTTAAATTGAATCGTTGAGAAACATGAAGCACGTTGTCTGGTGGAGTGACAAGAAAGTTTGATACACTTGCCTCATAGAGTTGATCCAAGCTTCAACTCTGCACCGAGCTAAGTAAGCACCCTATGTCTCAGTACAAAAATATGGATCTTATGCATCCACATTGCCGAAATTATTCTTTATAATAAGTGTTAGAAAATTTTTGATCATATACATTAAGTGTTAAGATAAAGAGAAAATTGTTGACAAAAAAATTGAATAAATTACTCAAATTAACTCTTGTTTTTAAATAATTAGGGGAATAGCTCCACGCAAGCGTGGGGTCATAGACTGTAGTTGTTGATCTATCTAAATATGTGGAAGTGATGCCGTGTTTTTGCTGTGGTTTTTGATTTTCGAAGATTTGTATTGTAATAAGATTGACGTGAGATGATGAAATGTGGTACTTTTGTGTTTGGTCGTTCTCTATCTAATCATAAGGAATTTTGTGTTAAATTCTCTGTTTGTAGCACAGCTACACCACTATCACAATGTGCATGTTTTGTTAGAGTCAGAAAATATATTTTTGTTAGTAATGTTCTTGGTGAAAAGATTTTTAAATGCAAAGATGGAGATCTTAATGGCTAGCTTTATTTGCTTTAAATGGTATCCAACGATTATCTCCGCATTTTCTGCATTTATTCAATTTGTATATGTGACCAGAATCCCTTTCTTATTAATAGAGGAACATTTTAAAAAAGAAACCTTTATTGTGTAAGTTATTTACAAGGGTGCAATGCTGAGGTGGCATCACCACAATCACTCTCAGCCTACATATTAAACTATCCATTTTTTACTAGTCTATTTACATCAAATGCCATTATCATATATAATTATAGTTGGTCTCTCATAAATAATTATATTAGAAGGTTTTATTCTCTATATGATACGATGACGTACTCACTCGGCAATCACCTGCATATATTTTACAAATAACAATGACTGATAAATGCTTTTAAAATACATACAAATAACAATGACACTATCAACCGACCGAAACATGTAACACAAGAAATAATCCAGCTTAGACAATGACTTATCAATGTTTTATTGTACTTACAAATAACAACATAGATCGTATAAGTACTTACAAATAACTATGACTTATCAATGTTTTATTGTGAAAATTGAACTCACTAAATCCATAGTTATTTGTTAAATTAACATAACTTTTTAACTAAATCCGATTTTCTTTGTCAAATTAACATTAACATTAACATATTTTTTAAAAACAAAGTAGATTTGCTTGAATAGATTGAACATTAACATATCTCGGTCATGCAGACAGATCTTACAAATATATATATAACGACGACATAGATTTAAACACAAACCGGGTTGATATAGTTTAAACCATGTTCTCTGAATTTCCAAAACAATTGTAATTAAACCATATCATTGTCTAGATACTTTAAAATTTAAAATATAGACGTAGTAATTACATATTAATCACAATGGCAGTAATTTTGCATGATTTCTAGATGTACCAATCATCTCGCCTTGATTGTCAATTTCTAGATTAAAAAAGGCAACAAAATATTTTATCATTGGTTCAATTTTCTTAGAAGAATATTTTTCATCAATGTCAATAAACGGAATTACTAAAAATAGCATCACCGAGACGCTATGTACTAAAAAATAATATATATATATATATATATATATATATATATATATATATATATATATATATATATATCTAAGCTATTCAGACTAACTATGTTAATTCCACTAGAAAAATAAACCTGATCGATTTGTATCTAGCGGAGATGATGTCTGTTCATACTTCGCTGGATGACTTGAGTCTTGACATTCGTAAGCCTGCAGTTTGTGTTACCCTCATAAGCAAATGGGTCACAATTACTGGTACAATGTTAAAGAAATCAGCCATGGTATTTGCTGATCAGAAAGTAAGAAACGGTGTACTGATTTTAGTCTATACGTTCTTTAAAAATGATGGTACAACGTTTAACTTAATATTTTCTATAATTTGTTTACAGGGAACTACGATAGAAGGAACTCTATATGAAGAGTTCAAAGCTTCAAATCAAATCACCATGGATGAAGGTGATTGGTTTGTAATTCGAAACTTCAAATTGACCACTTTTTGAACGTCTTACGTGGTCTTTCCCATCCAATGTACTCTATAGGTATGGATATGTGTCTTTTATATAGTGGTAGATGGTTCATTTTGAATATATAATTTGTTTGATGATTAACAGTGATTGATATTTCAAAGTGTGGTACTAATGTTGTAGATATTTATGGAGTTTTGGTCGGGGTAGGGGAGCTTCAGGGTATTCATTTTGTATTTATATTTGTTTAATTGCCTTTAGTTTTCTTGATTGCTATTTCTTGAAAGGAAATGTTCTATGAGACTGTTCTACGAAATAAAATATTTGCTTTATTCAGTACTCATACAATTATACAACTACTTAGAAACTGTGAACACTAACCAGAGGATCAAGATCAGACACTAATCAGTTCCTAACTATATCAATCAATCTGAGTAAATAGCAGGAGGAAACTAACCATGTTATCTGAGTGGAATATCTCTTATGCAATCTAGAGAGCGTACTGCAGGGACATCAATTGACTCCTGAAGACTAACATAAAAAAAAAAAAATCTCAGAGTCACAAAGGAACTTTGACTCACAAGTAATTTGTTTCATTTAGATTTTTTATCTCCTAAGTAGCGGTTACCTGAAGAAGCATCATATATGAAAGGAACTTCGGATTCTTTAGAGAAGTACTGGGTATTTTATTAATCTAAGCAACATCTTTGCTCTTCATTTAAATTCCTTCGGATCCCAAAGTTTTGCAACGTTTAAATTTTTTATTTTTTTTAAAAACCCAAAGATTAGAACTGGCTTGTGTGTTAATAATTCAGTCTGCTTAAAAAATAGAGGTCAGAATAGAAACTTTACCATTCAGATGTAGAGAAAGACTACTACTCGATTGCATGTATTCAAAGTTTCTCAGGTGATGGCTGAACTACAATTAGAGATGAGAGATATATAAACATAATAAAACTAAGCTATATTAGCAATCAAAACCTGAATTGTTTAATATGTATGAATAGAAACCAAAATACAAGAGCCAAACTGAATGAAGAGTAGATCGATTGGATTTCTGATAAGAATCCTCTGTTATGATTATGTTAAGCTCCCGTCGAATTGATGCACAGCTGGAGAAGAAAAATGATAACTAAAATTCACCGACAAAGAAAAAAAAATCCATCGGTTTTTGTGAAAGTGTTTGGTGGTGTAGAGTGGAGACCCTTTTTCAGAAAAAGTTAGTGTACTTACGTAACTGGGTCGTATTGTATGTTTTTGGGTTAAACCACAAAAATTGATCATACGTTTTGTGTCCATATTTTTGTAGATAAGAAAAACACAATTCAGAAGACCCACAAAATTCAAAGTTGCAAAACACGTATTTTGTAATTAATAATTTTGTAACATATTTAATCCTAATGCAGTTTGGTTTCAATAGATTTTGGTATAAATGAACCATATGATTTACTACTTTACTCTATTAGTTATACACATTTTTAACATATTACACTACATATTAAACATAGTTTATACAATTTCATATAAAATTGAAATAAATTATTAAATAAAAAAAATTCAATTGTAACTCTCATCCCGCGCAAGGCGCGGGTCTTATCCTAGTACGTATATTATTGAAAAAAACTTGGGTTCATCCCCTATGGTGAATTCTCTAATTCACTGCAGCTCTTGGTACTAATCATTGTGCCATGTAGGATAAATAGAAAAAGGAAATAAAATGAAAAAGAAGAGAGGAAAATAAGTGAAAAAGACCTCGCCATTTACAAGGATGAAAACGTGTGTTTTGTTAACGCCATTTATCAGCTTCTTCTTCGGTCGCAACCGGTGCCGTTAAAACAAGTTTGCTCAAACATCACAGGTAACTTCAAGGTTAACACCCTTTACACACCGTCTCATCTCTTCTCTATCATCGGTGACAAGAAAACTTCACTCGAGATCGCGACGGTCGGGAGAAATCATTAAGGGGTTTACTAGAAGGGTTTTAAGGCAGAATAAAAGAAATTTGTTGTGGGAAAAACAAGCAGGTCGAGCTGTTGTGATATGAAAATGGGTATATATGTGTTCTCCTACCTGTATGGTGGCTTACACTCCATGGAGATTCTCTGATCCAGTGGACACCACAAATGAGACATGCTCAGTGTCTGCTAACCCTACTGGGAATGAGACGAGACGTGTCGCGCAAGATATGTCACTTGTTATGAATTTGAGCTCTAGGATTTAAAATCAGACTGTGGAGCATGTGTTGTAGTATACCAAATGAGGAGATGGGAATTTGTTACAGTAAATACGAATTTAATAATTATAGGTAACAGAGGAAACCATTTTGGTTTTTTTTTTTCTCAGGGGATAGAAATAGAGGTGTACGGAAAGCTTTGATCTTTGCGGCTGTTTTACTACTATTGGTATCTTATTTGTCATATTCTTAGTCATTTTCCTAAGGTCTAGGAGGAAAAATAATATAAGGAGGACATATAATAAGAACGAAACCTTGAAAGTTAGCGGCTGTTTTGTTTATTTTTCTTTATTAAGATTATTATGTTATTCACTTTGTTCTACCTTACTGTCTTTGTTTCTTTCATATCTGCTGTGACTTCTTGTTAACCTGGAGATTTTTTTTCCTGACATACAAATGAAGACATTAGCACATATTCCATGAGAATTGATTTCACTATGTTACAAGATGCCACAAGCCAATTTTTTTTTTTAACCTTGGGGGTATCCCAGGTCCATGGAGAGGCCCGGACTAATCCCCAAAGGGGTGGTGCAGCCCACTAATGGACCTTCACTCTGGGTATTAAAATGGGCCGTAAGATAGGCCCATATCCACGTGGCAACAAGGTAAGATGTAGTGGGGTGCCTTCGAATCCGGGTTGCTTAGCAAATCCCCAAGCTCGCTTACCACTAGACCACCACCTTGTGGTTCACAAGCCAATTTTCACTCGAGAATAAATTTGGAGAAGATGGATTTGTTTGCAGTTTATAAGGTGTCTTTGAAAAGGTAGTGAAATTGAAATTGAATTGGAAAGTATAGAATTGGAGATTCCAACTTGACGAACAAAACCAATGGGCGTTGTTAACAAACACATGATCTCTTCCTGGTTCACGATGTCTTACCTATTTTTATCTTTTTCTTTTTTATTTTTATTTTATTTCTTTTTTTTATTAATCCTACATGACATAATGATTAGTACTAAGAATTGAGGTGAATTTGAGAATTCACCACAGAAGGTGAGTCCAAGTTTTGTTCTATATTATTATACAATATTATAATGTGACCAGTTACACGCATAATCTGAATAAGATTATTATTGTATTTGTTCTTGTTTCTGAACAAAAGACCAATTATAGAGACATTCAAGCATATGTAAAAGACTGGTTGAAGAGCACTTGTATGTAGGGGTTATATGTCATATTTTCCTCCGAATTAGATTTAGCGAACATATGATCATAAGCATGAAAATAAGTTAAAACAAAGATAAGGATTTTGCATGGCAGGCAGGCCCGTCTCTAGGCAAGTACACAATATGCATTTACGCTAGGCCCAAATTTTTTTTTGCAATTTTAGTTAACTTTAAGGGTCCATTTTTTAAGATTCATGGCCCTTTTTACAAGTTGTTTTATATTGTTCTTATAGAATTTGCACCGGGCCCTATAAAGGAATGAGCCGGGCCTGATGGCAGGTCTTGAATCCTCCATAAGAAGACGTAACAAGTATACAAACACTCGAGGTCATATGACTCATATCTAACATCTTAAGATTGCGAATTTGATCTAAGAAGATAGGATACCTTCTAAGATTTTACAAACATGTCTCGAAAATCTCTATGTACGTACGCATGTATTTAGATTATACAGCGAATGTTTTATGTTGAGAAGGAAGCGGACAACACTCTTTCTCTCTTCTTTACATAAATTTTATAAATTATAAAAAGGGACCAAAATGAGATTATAAACCGAACAAATCTCTCTCTCCTCTCACTCTGTCTCATCTTCATGAAGTAACTCAAGGACGTCTTCTTCCTTGACCCTCCTTCTCCATACAGCTCATTCCATTGCTGAAGCGCGTTCATGTTTGATGAGTCCGTAGACACACTCGCACATACCAATATATATGTATTTCAGTTTATCAAGTCTCATTTGAGATCTTACATAAAACACAATGCCAAACCAATTTGAGTTTTTCTTACACTACATGTTCATGGGCAGCTTTGAAATCAGCCATTATCAGTGGACGGTCCCGTGCAGCTATACAACGGAACGTTGAACGGTTTCAGCCTCAGCGGCAGTTTTCTTCTAGAGCCAAAACAACAATATTATAAAGAAAAATTAAAAGATGAAACCCAACCTTCTTTTTTTCCGTATTTCTCTAATCGGAAGATGTGCCGCAGTTACACAAAGATTATGAAACCAAATGAGACAATGTCAGCTTTTACAAGGCAAGAAGATTGAGATACAAGGAGAGAGAGAAATAACTAGAGAGACCTTTAAGTCATGTCTTGAGTACCCATCTGTCATATTTGCAATCGCTTATAAATCAACGCCTGGTCCTATTTCTTCTTTTGCTAGAATAACGCTCAATATCTTTGCTCTATTCATCGCATCTGGAAGATTCACCATTAATCTGCATAGAAGTATGCACATGCAGCTCAGAGATAGTTGCAACATGAGTAATATTGTTTATACATTAGCTTTTTTTACCTCCGGGGAAGACGTCTGATAACAGTTTCGTGGAGTTCAAATGGTCTGTTGGTATAACAGAAACTACCAGAACTCGTTCTCTATCCTTTGTTTGTAAGCCACCCCATTTTACCATGAATTCGTTCTTCATCTTACGCATAGCTTCATGTTCCCCTGGATTTTCATGTCTTCTATTGGAGATATTTCCATATATTTGTTTGTATATTTTCCTATATGTGATAAGGATTGTTTCCTTATACGACAAGGCAATATGTTATGCCGCCTTTGTCTTTGCATATGTATGCATCGTGTGATATCAATAAGATCAAGTCAGTTGTTTATCAAAATCTACATGGTAT